GCTGGCTTTGTGCATTAAAGTGGGATTAAAACTCACCATCTCCTGGCTTCAAGGCCCTAATCACTACACCAAACACTACACTACACCTCGCATACTATGTTTATATACTGTATATGTGTAAAATTAAATCAACTAAGTCAATAGCTGTTAAATTTATACACTTATTTTATTTTAAAGAAAGCCCAAGCTGTTCTTTCCTTCCCTCATGTAGTTTGGAGACATGTTAGTAGACAATTGGCAGCACCAAGACTACTATCAATATTTTTTTCCCACTTTTGCAAATAGGCATGCAAAAATTTGTTTCTCCAAAGTAAAACAATCCTTTTCCAAAATTTATGCCAATCTTTCCTACACAAATATTTACAAATGAAGAAAAAGTGTTTAGCATACCTGCGTCTAGCTCAGAAAATCAAAACCACCCCAATCCAATCTAATTAACATAGTTTGTTCAATCTGCTAGATGTTGCTCTAAAAGAGTCATACACTATTATTTAACATTTACTTAAAAGATGCTTATCTCACGCTTCAACAATTTTAGGGCTATTTGCAAAAGCTTGAAAAATACCTGATTAAACAACAGTATCAAAATAAATCTAGCAAGGTCTGGATGGAAATAAGGTTGCATCCTTTGCTATTCAGCTGCCATCAAAACAACAATATAGAAATTCTGGCAATCCCCCCAAACCTTGCCGAGCATGAGAGCGTAGGAATTGCCTATTGAATCAGGCCAAAACAATTTAGTCTAGCATTATGTATTTCCAAAGCATTTAGCAAAGGCACTATATTGATTACAAGAACAGTAGTCAACCCAGATCTCCAAAATTTGCCTTTTAAAAACTCTGTTAATGAGTGATAATCATCAAGTATGAGGAAAGTACATTCTGGTTTAATAGTAAAAAAAATCCTAGTGGCACACATCAGTTCTAGGGGAAATGCAGAAAGGAAAATTCCATTTCAACAACAGATATCTATTTTCATAATATTGTTTCACAGAAAAAAACAGAAACTATAAGTGGTTTACAGTGGTACCTTGGTACCCATTGGCAATTCATTCTGGAACATGTGAAAATACTAAAACCAACGAGTACCAAGAAAACCATGTGACTTATCATGTGACCCTCTATTTCAGCCAGAAGACATAGCGAGTGATGAGGCAGCTGACATTAGCAAGTTCTTCTTTGCACATCAACTACCAGGAGAAAGACATGTGCTGGGACAAGATTTCTGCTTTGAAACACGTCAGATATCAAATTTGACAAAAGCAGTTGAATACTGAGGTATAATTGTCCTGAAAATCTTGCTTCTCCCTTTAATAGTGTGTGCTTTAGCAGGGAATGGATCAGACCTCTTCTGACAAATGACTCTGAACATCTTCTGCAAGTGAAGTTGGCTCACTGCTTCTGAGGGGTTGTTTTTTTTACCATTGTTAAGAAATAATACAGTTTGCTTTGGTAGAATACCTAGGCTTGCTGATGGCATAAAAAAGCCAAATATTTCTGTAGCTCCAAGATTTTATTTACACTGTTATTCCAAAGCAAACACCAAACATTTTAACTAAAGGCAAGAGGGCAAAAAAGTTTGTCTTCTTATTGGACAGTCGTTCACATATTAATTTGTTACAGAAATTATTGCTGTATGTGTGTATATTTAAAACATGATTTTGCCTTACAAGTATTTCAGTTTAAATTACTAGGGAGTCTAAGGTTTCAAATCAAGCTAACATATTAGCTTTCAAACTGGTAATTGCAGTGCTGCCTAATTTCACTGGAGATTTCATAAAATCACTACTGTTCTTTGCATGTGATACACAATGAAGGGCTGTTTCAGAAACAGGAACATCTCTATGCCTATGGAGAAAGTTATCAGTTGCTTGATCATATATTTCCAGGTTTCTTGAAATTGAGTGAGCCCAGTTCCCAGAATACTTATTAGCCTTATTATTATTATTTATTAATACTTATTAGCTTATTAGGAGCCATGGTGGCACAGTGATTAGAATGTAGTATTGCAGGCTAACTCACTGCTCTCTACAGGAGTTCGATTCTAAACGTTCGATTCTAAACATGATCAAAACGGCTCAAGGTTGACTCAGCCTTCCCATCCTTCCAAGATCAGTAAAATGAGGACCCAGTTGGGGGCAATATGCTGATTCTGTAAACCACTTAGGTAGGGCTGTAAAGCACTATGAAGTGGTATACAAATCTAAGTACTACTGCTATTGCTAGTAGGGATGAGCTTCCTAGATCTTCCTATTGCAGATAGTCCTTGACTTACAGTCATTCATATAGTGACCATTCAAAGTTACAACAGCACTGGAAAAAGTGACTTACATCTGATCTTCACACTTTTGACCATAGCAGCATCCCTACAGTCAGATGATCAAAATTCGGGTGCTTGCATTTATGACAGCTGCAGAATCCTGGAATCATGTCATCTCCATTTTTGACCTTCTAGGTGGCTTCCGACCAGCAAAGTCAACAGGGGAAGTCAGATTCATTTAATGACTGTGTGATTAGCAACTGCTATGATTTACTTAGCAACCATGATGAAAAAAGTTGCAAAATTGGGTGCAATTCACTGAACTGCCTTACTTTGCAATAGTCCCAATTGTGGGCATAAATTGAGGACTACCTGTACACATATAGTATCATGAACTCAAGCATAGACTGAGTCTATGTGTACTTAATTGGCTTATGTGTGCAGCAACCCTAAACTTCAGTACCTAATATTCCATTCCCTCAACCCAATTAAGTAGGCTAAAGTGACTACACAAATAAAGTGTTCAGAATTTGCTGCTAAAGCAATCAATCAGTAAAATAGCCACCTCAATTTCTGCATTGCATGACATTTTGGCTTCCTTGTGCTGAATGTGTTCAAGGAAAGATCAAATAGCCATACCTGGGGAATGTTTTAATTCTGATTCATGGACCAAAATCAAATTCAGATCCATAATATCAATATTGACAGAGATTAAGAACAAAAGTTCCTCTAAAAGTAGAGCTTAGCCCTAGATAACTTTTGACAATTGACCTTGCCCTTAAACTGACATAATCACTCCCTGAATTAATAACAGGAAGAGATAAAATCAATATTTTCTAAAGGTTTATGAGTCGATGCTCTGCTTCCCTGGTACTTGAGTTTTCAACCTTCAGAAGACCAAGAAATTATTCCAGGAGTCTAGACAAGACTAATTGTCAGGGCTCCAACAAATCCACCCCCATTCAAATCAAAAGTCTCTAGCCGCATCTCAGAGATACTCCTTTGGTCTTTTTAGCTGTCACTAATTACCTTTAACATTGTATATATATCCTCAACAGATCCTGCTTTACTCTACCGTCTTTTATTAAAACTAATTTTTGCTTTCCTTATTTATCGGATTCTAGGAAAAAATATCTTCAGTTGATCATGCCAATAAATAAAAAGGTCAATTTACACAAATATGTGCTTTGAGGAAGCAACCAAGCAGCATAGTAATGTTGAAGACATTACTAGGTCTGCATTTCATAAGGCAAACATGGACTGAAGTAATACTTGAAATATGTCCTGTCAAATTGGCCACATGAGGTCCAATTCACATGTTATACAGGTAGTCCTCAACTTACAACCAGTTGTTTAAAGACTGTTCAAACTGTTTGTTTAAAGACTGTTCAAAATTACAACAGCCTCGGAAAGAGTTACTTACAACTCCTCCTCAATGTTGCAACTGTCACACCACTCTTGCTGTCACATGATCATATTTTGGGCACTTGGCAACTGGCTTGCATTTATGACTGGTTGCAGCATCCCATGGTCACATGATTGTGATTTGTGACGGGTTTTGCCGTTTTCTGACAAAAAAATTACCCATTGAATAAGCTGGATGTGAACTTAGGCCCACATAATTTGTTTAATGACTATCATAAAACTAGTCATAAAATCAAGTCGAGTTATGTGATGATTCAGTTTATGATCGCAACAACTTATAACCAAAATTCTGGGTTCAATTGAAATTGTAAGTCAAGGACTACCCATATAGAAAATAAATCCTGAGGACAGGCCCCCATAAACACTGTAGCTCTGGTCAAAAACAGACTCTTGATGTCATGCTTTTTTGTGCTTATCAGGTTACCTTATTGTGTACATAAGCCTACATGCTATGTAAAGCAGGCATGAGCCCTGAATGTCCTTTTAAGAAGAATATTAATAATTTTCAGGACTGCAAGAAGTAGTCTCCTATAGTAACAAGAATCATGCTTTCCTCTGACTATGTGAAAGTAAAAGGAAAAAATTGTTGACTGCCTACAATAACATTCAAAACATACTCATATATGTAAAATTGAAAGTTGCGGTTTCTATGTCTGAAATATATGAAAAGATTTGGAAACCTGCCAAATTCATGAAAGAAAATAAAATGTGCAAGGCAAGGAAGAGGACTGGATTAGAAAAGCAAAACTGGGACATTGGATGAAGTCGGGTGGTTGGAATCAATCATACTTTCTTCAAACTGCAATTTGCTCAGCCGCCATGTTGAAGAATTCGAACTACAAAAAAATGTATCACCAATTCTTTTTTTTAAAGAAGGGCAATATTGTTATTACTCTCTTCTCTTTCATACATATTATCAACATGATTTTAAAGTCACCGCATTAGAAGTGGCTGAAAAACACTGATTTCTTAATTAGAGAAATAAAATTATCCCTGCAGAACAAAGATTTCAAATAATGGGGAGGGGGGAATTCACATGCACATCAATGTTAGTTTTTAGCCATTCCCAGCAATTTTGTCAACATTACTCAAGCATGCTTGAATATTAAGGTTAGGGCCAACTGTCACATACAATTGGCAACACCTACATCATCAGATTATGAACCACCAATGAAAGTCACCAACGTGGAAACATGCTGAGGTGCATTCAGCCACGTTGCATTAAAAAACCCCACATTAATAATAAAATAATGCATTCCAATTACTGTCTAAAAGAGAGTTGGGTTACCTGCAGATCTTGGAAACACACACATTACCTGTTGCCTTTGGTAAGCAGAGAATGTTCTTTCAAGGTCTTCAAGGTCTAGCACTTTAAATACCTTGGCATCATCAATGCTAGTCCACACAGTGCCTTCCAACTTGTTCTAGGATGGTAGGAAGAAGATGGAAGAACCATCATTACGACTTTTTCAACATATGGCACTACACTTCACTACATTCAAATGAAACCATATTCTATAAATAAGGCCCATACACACATTTCTTGTACTTATTAAAAATAAATGTGAAATCACTTTGATGTACATGCCAGGCAAATGAAGTCATTCTAAATTGTAAAAAAATGCAGCACTTCCAGGATAATTAAGGACATAAAAGCATCTTTGTTGGATCAGTTGAAGAAGGTCCCCTCATCTAGCATTAAGTTTTTGAACAGGAACTGTTACTGGAAAAATTTATACAAGGATACAAAGGCAATTAAAGTGGAGGGTAGGGGGACCTGGCGTGCTATGGTCCATGGAGTGCAAAGGGTCAGACATGACTTAGCAACTGAACAACAACAACAAAATAAAGGCAATGCTTTCTCACTTAGCAACTGAACAACAACAACAACAAAATAAAGGCAACTGAACAACAACAACAAAATAAAGGCAATGTATAGTCAGATGGGAATTGATAATGCCAGTTGATAATTGATAATGGAAATCCAAGGCCAAAATAATGGAAACCCAGCTCCAATAATTTTTTTCACTTGCACTTTTCTTAATTTTTTTTAAACATGGGAATCAATTTTGGTGTGAGAGAATAGCCATAATTTAAAGTGTTTGTTTATAGAGATTCTCAATCATCCAGGTCATGATTTACCCAAAGGTACTTTTCCAAAAGGCAACTGGACTTTCTTGTTTTTTTTTCCTTGAAAAAGTTTTGCTTCTCTTCCAAGAAAAAGCTCTTAAGAAAAAAACAAAGAAAGGAAGTCCAGTTGCCTTTTTGGAAAACCACCTTTGGAATATTAGAAGTACTTGCATTGCAAATACAGACAACTGTTTAATAAAGATAGTAACATCAGTGTTTATTTGTTTTGAAATGTTTTTGTCCTGCCCCATTCATATTTAAATCCTTTTTTTTTAATGTGGTCATATTCTATGTTGCAGTGTGGGCCATCTGAAGGTGAGTGGGGTTCCTAGCCTGAACACTGTGTATTCCTGCTCTACAATCAATCCTATTCATCGATCCTAAAGAGCAGAGGAGAACAGATTCCTTACCTCAGGCAATTTGGACCAGTTGAAGGACTTGAGGGCATGTGTGGGTTGAGGGACGTTTTTCCTCTTGAGTGCTGATCCCAAAGGAGCTCCTGGAGCTGGAGTCAGGCCTCCAATTGGTGGGGGCCCTGGGGGAGGGGGTGGGCCCCCAGGAGGAGGGGGTGGAGGGGGAGGGGGTGGCAGGATTGCTCCAGGAGGAGGGGGTGGAGGAAGAACTGGCAGGAAAGATCCTAGAGACCCTGTAGGTAAGGGCCCCCCAGGGGCACCGGGTGGCAGAGGGGGTCCTCCAGGGACTGGAGCACATATTGCTCTCTGAAATAAAATGAGAAGACATAATTGCTCTAGGAATTGCAGGCAAACTCAAAGATCAAGTCAAGCGAGATGGCATTTAGGTTACCCATGATGATAATATTATTTACAATATATAACTCAGCCATCTATACAATTGCAAACAAACAATAATACGGAAATATTACAGTCTCTCCGATCTGTACTTGGATTACAGAACATTTCACCAAAAGGAAAAGGAAAGCAAAAAGGGACGTTCCCAGCTCAGGGTTTACCAAACTGTGTTCCATGAACTTCTGGGGTTCTGCAAGAACCTGAGGGGTTCCATGAGAAGATTAAAGTGGGAAGGGGACTTCATTTGAATACTAGCTAGGAATGTCATAGCAATTTTTCTAATGGTCAGCAGAAAAGACAGGGCATGCCCATGGTTCACAAAAGCTCTGCCTCTTGATTAAAGATTCTGGGAATTTTTAAAAAAACTAATGGATTCTGAGGCCTGAAAAAGTTTGAAGCCCCCGTTTTGGCTAATCAGAGAGGAGCTGTTTCTCTTGCTCCTCCTCCTGGTGCTTATTGCTCTCCCGGCCTTCTCTTTTTTTGCAGAAAATGTTCTACAAATTGTGTAGTGAGAAGGCTGCTTGGAGATTAAGTGGAGGGGAAATGAACAAATAGGTAAAAATACTGCAGAGGATGCTATTCTGTATTAATGGTTCACATTTCCAGAGGGCTGCTTGGATCTCCTTAACTGGTTCATATATTTCATTTAAGAAGCAGGTCTGGGATTCATAATGTGGAAAGATGAGACCAGATTTGTGAGACTGTGCCGAGAAGCAGCTTAGCTGTAGAACTTCTTCTCCGCCAAAAAGGACATTATTCCTACAGGAATTCAGCTCTCGACAGTAAAACTATTTGCCTGCTCTGGTTATAAAAGCTGATTATATGCACCATGGGAAAGCCCCTCTCTCTCTGAGCAGATGAAGAACTCTTGGCTTTTGCCCCTAAAATATATGGCAGTTTCAATAACCTTTCCAGTAACCCATTCTTTTTCTCATTTGCCCGGGCCTTTTGACTGACAGCATTACTTCTAACAGACACATAGTTGTAATGTAAACAAATGGCATATTTCCCCCCAACTGCAAAGGAGCGTCTGGGGTTTGACCTCACCCTACTAAGCTCATGGATCTGTGCCGTGAGGTCTGCCACTTGCTGTTTCACTTGTTTATGCTCAGAGAGTTCTTTTTCAAGCTTCTCCTTCATCTTATTCAAGGTCTGCATCATCTCCTCCTTCTCTTGGGTCTTGGCATCACACTCTCGCTCTTTCTTTTCCAATTTCTGCTGTAGCTCATGGTGTTCTTTTAAACAGGGAGGGAAATATTTAAACAATTGCAGTTAATGCTTTTGAACTGTTGCTTGGCATGCCATGAACATGGATGATGTTCCCCTTGAATTCTGAATCTTGGCAACTGAAGGAACAATAAACTGAGCAATAACCATACTTAAATATGTCCCTGTCCTCATCACCTAAGTTCAATAAAGTAAATTATCCCAATTTGGATAGGGAAAGTATTAACAAACCTACTATACAATGCAGAATAGTCCCTTAACATACTTTCAGTGGACTAATTTTGATTAAAATCTTGGAGAATAAAAATAATTCTATTATCAGAAGGTGATTGCACATGCTCAATCCAGACTTTTCATATATGCATAAAAAAATCAAGTAGCAAGGGACTGGAAAATCCTCTGTGTGGAACAGATAAAAATTCAAGAGAACCATACTGTGCTAGGTATTGAAATAGTCTGATCCAATATCCTTTGTTCTTAAAAGATTAATGTAAGACTGAAAAGAACACTTATTGTCAAATTCCTTTCTATCCCATTAAATGCATAAAGAAATTTCATTATGGAAAATAGTTTGTTAATTATCCTTAAATTCCTCTGAATTCTAAGCTGGTCAGACTGCAACTACAATATGGTGTCAAGTTCTGTGCCTCATTTTAAAAATAAACCCAGGTGACAGCAACCAAAATGATAAGGGGCTTGGGAGGAAAAACTTAGGAGAAATAGCTGAAAACAGTGCATATCTATAGCCTGGACAAGAGAGGGCTGCCGAAAGATACAGGACAACTGTCTTATTTATTTAGTTATATATTTACCACTTCAGTCATAATATGGCTGCCAGATAGAAAACTTGACAGAATAGTTCAAGGACATATATATAATAGGAAAATAATCAATGGATTTAACTTACAAATAAATTAATTTAAATTAATTACAAGTAGATTTAGCATTGATATTAGGAAAAAAATATCCCAATACCAAAAGTTATTCAGCAGTGGAATGGGTTGTCTTAGGAGATAGTTGTTGAATTACAAATAAAAATTAAGTAAAGCAAATCAGCAATAATTGGATTTATGTCTAATTATCAATTAGTCCAAACTGACCAAATTTATGTTATTTTCATAATTATAAAAATGGATGCAAATTACATAAGTTGATGTATATAACATTAATTTATGCAAATCATCCAGACCACTTTGGCTGCAGTGTACTTGTTCACTATTTTGAAGGGCTATTTTGTTCACTGGATCTAAAATCTAAGATAGGCCTGATTCGTTGAAGCTTCACTGTATTTCCTTTCCTCTATTAGGCATGCAAATTTTATTGTCCTCCATGGAAAAGAACCATTCATAGGAAAACACAAACACAAGTCTATAGTGAAATACTATACTATTGTTCCTAAAATGTAGTCCTCTTTATTAAAAAAAACAAAAAAACAAAACCCAAACCAGATTGATCACTTCCACTTCCATTCACATAAAAATGTTTCTGTGAAAGAAAATGTAAGTTGATAACTGTATATACTGTATTTATGAGGTAAAATATATATGCAAATTATCTGGTTAAAAGCCAAACTGTACCAATTTATAAATTAATAAAGTGTGGAAAATCTTATGTCAGAAGCTCTCCCCTTCTTTCTTTTCTACTGCAGGTTTAGATATTGTAAGATTTTCTTATAGTGTTTAAAATTCAAATTAATCAGCTAACCTCTGTATTCTCTGCCCACACATCTAAACTGATTTCAGGCCGTAACCTTTTCACTTCTGTGATGTCACTTCCCTTTTACAACCATGGCATTCCAGAAGTTGTCTTAATCTGAGTGAGCTCCTATTGCCACCATCAATTGCCACTGAATCTACAAAACCTCCAGTAGAGTTTTTTCCCCTCAGTCCTAACAAGCTAAAGTCCTGTTAAAGTGGGGTTCTCTATTTTTATCATTTACCTTTTCTCATTTTTTCTGCTTGTTCTTTCCATTGTTTCACTTCATTTTCATTAACCAACCTGGGGGAGGGAAAGAGAAATTAGTTTCTAATCAATATAAGCACCAAGACGCCAAGATGAAGTCTATGGAAAACCTAGAAAATTGCATCTGTACTTGTTTAATTAGTATTTAAATTTATTCAGTTTTCTTACCATAAAACAGTTTACAGTGGCAAATCATTTTGTTTACATATTGCTACTTCAAATGACATTAATGAATACTTATTAAATATTGACAGTTTTTTCAAGGAGAAGTTCTTTTTACATACAATTTATGAGGTAAAATATTCTCTAGCCTTTGCTCAGAGTACTACAATGCTATGGAATATACAACAGAATATTTCTTTTGGGGGTGAAGTTATTGGCAATATTGATAACTTGGTTAAACATAAATCCTTTTTCGCATTCCAGATAATAAGTTCTGTCACTATTTCCAAATTGTGCAGATTTGTATAGGACTAATTTAAAAAATCAAAATAAACAAGCAACCCATTCATATGAGGGAGAGAAGACATGCAAGATTTTTTAAAAAACCATTTACTGCAGAAATAAAGGAAGGCCCTTACATTCGGACAACATTTTTGATATTAAAGTTCTCCAGGGGTGTTGAGTCAGGGTCCTGCCCTTTATCATTTTGAATAACTATTTGTTGTATAATACGATCCAGCAGTAACCAGTACTGGACGGTGTTGCCGTTTCTCTTATCTAAAAGGGAGACAAAAACTGTGAATGAATGTGAAGGGTGGGAAAAGGAAGCATATGTCAGTTTAAACAAATCTCCATTTCCAGATGCTTTTTACAGGAAATTGAGCTTTAGTGGTGAAATAGTTGCTATAGGTTGTGGTGGAGGGATGTCAGTGGAAATCTGCTTTTCCTAACCTTGATCATTATATATCAGAGCTCCACCTAAGATATGCTCTTTCTTCCTAATAAACTGGATATTTTATGTAATGCATGCTACTAAAACTGGGGTTAATGAAATAATCACTTTGCTTCTGTAACAGTCTGAATTGATATCCTTTTTTTCCAGAGTGACCAAATATTGAATGATGTTAACAGAAATAGCCAGTTGCAAATGATGTGATTTTTGTTATAAATAAAGAAGCCTTAATATTTGAAGAAAAATTTGGGAAGTGTGACATGGTCTTTTGGGATGACTCTATATCCAGGAACATGAATATCTTATTTTAAATGTCTTGAATACTGTGTCCTGGTATCAAAGTGTATTTATAAAAACTATGTGCAGTATTGAGAGAAAATAATATATTATACAATTTAAGTCATAACTTGCAAGTCCCCCTCCCCTAAGAAATTGATGAATAATGCACCTGTGGAATTATGAATAAAAGCATGCAAAAGTGAATTACACAAATTTACCCCTTTGTACTTATGAGTCATGCCTTAATTTATATCAATACAAATATTGGAGAGTGTTCAGAATAGTGCATAAATAAAGGATAGAATTTGTACAATGTGACTTTTGCATGCTTTTACAAGAGGCAAATTTGATTGTAAGCATTGCAAAACAGTGTTGACGAATATGATGGACATCATATAGATTTGATGTTCTGAAATTGTAAAATGCCCTGATAATCTTTTACAAAACAAACTATACACTGTAGCTACTCTTGCATTTTTTGAATATAACGGCAAATTATTGTTGTTAGAAAAGACACTGGAGCAATAGTTAACAAATATAATTCCCACATATTAACAGTGAAGTTCAAAATTATTCAAATAAATCCTGTAAGAAAGAGAAGGACAAGGCTCAATGCTAAAAGATAGCAATGCATTGCAAGAGATTACTGTACTCAGATATGCCTGGCAAAAATAGAATTGTTCAGCCATTTTCAAAGGGAGCACAGATGGAAAGAAATCATTAGAGAGAACGGACAAAGTTGACATTTGCAACAGATACTTCTTCATATTTGATGTGCAACAAATCTTTGAAAGTTATACCACATCAACTATGTAAAACATGTCAGGGTGCAGCCCTTAAGCGAGTGATTTTGACAGAAGGTCACAATCTTATCCTTCAGAATGCCTTTCCAGTGGAGGGAAATGCTTGTGTACATCTGTGTAATTGAGTAACCAAGAAATATTGGGTAAATCGTGCACTAAACATTTCTAAACTGAATGTGATATGTCTTTCTTGAAAGCAGTCTTTCTTGAAAGACATTTCTGAGCACAGCTGAGAAGATGTAATGGACACTTTGGAAATGCATGGCATTAAGAGGAAAGTGTCCAAGTAGATAATTGGCATACAAAATTTGATCAGTAATTGTATGAACTACTTTTTTTTAAGAAAAGAAGCATGATGGCTATATATGAAGGATATGTTAACTGGGAGTCATGCACTAAGTAGAGAAATTGACTTATTGGTTTAAGTGACCGTTTCCAATTTCATGGGATTTTATGAAAACACAAACTAATCCTGAAGAACTGGATGTAACTGAGAAAATCTTTCACACGGCAGATTCCTTTGCACTTACAGATCTTTTCCTTCATTTTTAACATTTGGTAGTATTTGCTTTTTTTAAATGATGTAAATCCAATCTGTCCTTCTCAAGTCTCCAGCAATGTAATGAAGACTGGAAAGTTCTTTCTGGTTTGAGCCAAAGTTACCCTAAAAGATTTAATTCCTAGTTTTCTTATGCAATTGTCCCGATGCCAATCAATCAATAAATCAATTTAATCACCTTTTAACATGTTCTCTCTTTCAATCTATTTCTCTCTCTCTCTCCCTCCCTCTCTCTCTCTCTCTCTATTTATCCACCTGTCCATCCATCCATATGTACTTCAAAATTAGTAAGACACATATACTGAAAATCTCTTTGCTTCTGTACAATAAAATCACATTCACTATAATAACATACCCATATAACAGGATGTGTTAAACTTATAGCATTTCTAACCATTCAGAGGAAGTCTGCATTTCAAACCATGTACTTCAATGCCAAAATATCTACTATGAATATCAATAGAATCCTAAAGTTACTTTTTGTACTCACAAGGCATTTGGAGGCAGTGGTGAAGTATAGACATAAAATGCGGGTAAGCTTCTGTATGAGTCAATCTCTTTCTTGTGAGTTCAAACATCTGGGTTGCACTTTTTGTGTCTATATGAACCTTTGGTTATTTGATGGGACAAAACAATTGAGGTTAAGATTAGTATTTTCACACACAATCATTCCTCCAGAGAAAGTTGCTACCTCTAAATTCTTTTTGCTTCTAATCAACTTTTAGTCAAGACGGACTTTCCTACACATAGATGAATGTGTAATTGGAAACGTAAAAGTGAATGAATAAAATGGCAAAATGTCAATCTATAAAGAGGAGCTTGACAATCCTTAACAAGATTTTGCACGTATCCAAGACCTTTGAGGTCAGTGTGATCCAAAAAGTGATTCTCTCTGGTGTAGTAGTAGCAGAACATACAACACTTTGAAGTGTTTCAATTTTTTAAAAAATCTTGCTACTTACTGAAAAAGAGCCCACAGCTATGAAAAAGGAAGGATCAGGGTGAATCATTTATATGAAAGTTGGGCAAAGATGGAATAGGGGAGAAAGAAAAGCAATCTCCTGAAAGCTATAATTAAAATGTAACTTAATCATTTTGGGCAAGTGTTCAAGGATAACTGTAAAATGGCTGAGATATGATTCAGTTCTTAACAATGATCCTTTCTTGGCCAGAATATTTTTCTTACTCATTCCAAATGTAGCAAAATAGTAGTACATACATACCAATTCAAATCTTTTGGCAAATTCCAACTCATCTTCATTTCGGAGCATTTCAAAAAAGTCTAAATGCCTGGAGGGAGGAGAGGAGGCAATTTATGGCAATGCCTTACTAAAGTAATTTTGCTAATTACTTGGCAAGAACATCCCATTACATTTAGAAGAGGCAGGGCACTCAATAACCTTTCATTCAGGAGAGTTCATACAGTTAGTCTTTGACCTACCATTATAATGGAACCCAGAACTATGGTCGTGAGTTATGCCAGTTTTTAAGCAGGCACCATGTGACCATGCTCAGTTTTACAACCTTTTTAATGGCATTTGTTAAATGAATGTGGTGGTTGTAAAACAAACACTGCAGTTGGTAAGTAAATTTCATCTTCTTGATATTTGGTTATCGTTAGCATGAATTAAGCATCATGATTTAAACAAAATCTAGCCAATTGGAAAACAAGCCAATAACCAAGCCCGCATAGTTTTGCTAGTAACAAACCACAATAAGTCTGGGATGAAAAAAGATAAAATTAAGCTTGGAGGAATTTTTCTTCTTGTGAAGCAGTTAGAGAAGGAGGAGAAGTACTCAGGTCCAAGATTTACTGGAGCTTCAGAGGTTCCTGTGTGTTAAAACCTGGCTTAGTGTCATAGAATTCCAGCTAGCTTAGGAAAAATTCAAAATTTTAGACCAATTTCCTTACATTAGGATGGGTAGAAACGTACTATCAATTTCCTTTAACATAAAATCTAGGCAGAATGAGTAAGAAGGCAGAAAAGACATTTTAAACAACATTACAAATCATATACTTACCTATCTAATGTGGAATTTTCATGTTCTCTTAACTTGTCAATTACAGGCTGAATTCCAAGCATGAGGAATTCATATCTAAGGTGGAGTCTAAAGTCCAGACTTTCCTGGGAAAGAGGAAAAGAAGATGGCAATTTTTCAAAATTGTTCCTGTTAGAATGATAACACATTTTATTTACCATTAAAGGCTTAAAAGTTTCCCCTGTTCAGTTGAGACTGACTTAAGGGGGCAGTACTCATCTCGGATTATCAGCCGAGGGAGCCTGAGAGAGGCTTCTGTCATGATGTGTCATGAAAATACAAAACGTAGTAACCTTCCTGCTGGTGGTACCTATTTATCTACTTGCAATTGCCTACTTTCAAACTGCTAAGTTAGCTGGAGCTGAGGTGTGTTACAGGAGCCATTCCTGATACATACTGTTTGGGTCTTCAACCTGGGCTCTTGGCTTTCCAGCTGATAAGCCCGTCTTAACCACTGACCCTCAGCACTGCCTTTCTTTTATCAAAGATGTAAAAAAAAGAAAATGGGTACCCATGCAACAGGTGAACTACCCTCTGTAATGACAGTCATAAAATAGGTGCATTAGGAAAGTTTCTGGAAATTACAGTTACAGTGGGATAAGACAAGATAGATGAAGTATCAAAGACGTCAAGATTCAGGCAGGCAAGAAAATGTGGCTCATCGTCTTAGATCTTTCTATCAGGTTTACTTTGTATTGATTCTACTGACTTGTCAAAAATAAAGCAAGCAAGGGGAGCAGAGATATAGCTTATATTTCTTTCCTAAACAACAAGAGGGCAACAATAATAAGTAGTGGGTTTATATTGGGGAATACAAATTTATTCCTCTCTAGATATCATGGATATTAATTCCTATTGGTCTCCAACATCACCAATAGTTTAAGAAAAACTGTGAGAATTATCCAACATAGCTGGAGGCACTAAGTCCTTGACATACTAAAGGAATCATAATTCAGTAGTAGGCAAATTATGTACATAAGAGGTTCCAGATTCACAGGGATTACTACTTTTTCAGAATATCCATCATAAGGAGATGTATAAATTGCTCTGTCTGATATTATGATCTTGAATATTTCTATTTGGAGCAGGATAAGAAGATGAGTGTTTGTGTTTTAAGTAGGACAGAAAGATGCATGGGAAGCATCCTTTTCTTAAAGGGTAACTTGTGTTTCTGTTCTGTCCTTTCAAGAAATTGGGATGGGGAAAAATCTCTTCCAAAATATTCTGGTTATCTTCTTGGATATGAATGTGCAAGACAATTCTTTTGTGTACAGTTCCTCTACCTTTCTCTGGTATCAAGGCGACCTAAACTCTACTAATTAATGAGAAATCATTCCATCATCCTATGAAACTAGGAATACCTGTAGCCCATCTCTGCCCTATCTAAACTTACTGTAAGTGTTATGGCTGTCAATATGATGATGTTTTAGCTATTGTTTCTAGAATCCTTGTTCAAACATGATAGTATCCCAATCGATGTTACGAAGCTCCCATTTCTAGCTTCTGAACTTACCACTCCAGCCCCTTGGCTGAGAACAGCATTGATAAAAGACATAATGGCGGTCTTGAGGCTTACTTCATCTCGGTATCGTCCCGTACTTCTATCCAAATCATTTATTAATGTCTGAAAATCAGAATATTTTTGATCAGTGTCATAGTGGTACTGAACACCAGGAGAGGAAAACACTTTAAATGAAAATTGGATTCATTTTAATTATTTTTATGTTAAAGATAAAAGGTGTATTTCCCTCCTTCTCACTTTTTCTTACATTCTCATACACATATCTACATAGAAAAACCATGGGTAACTTAAGGTAACTTTACATGATTGTGTACTGCTTCTAGGTAAATCTTATCAATAAAATATAATATTATGCATTTGGTATTAGATTCAGGGCATAGAACTCTGATGTTGATCATTGTTGGAGATAATGTTTAAAGATACTTAAAGTTATTAAAAGAAGTAATGTTTAATTGTGTTTGTGTAACTTAGATTTGCCTCTTATTGCTTCAATGTACAGGAAAGCAATATCTGGAGAAAAGGAGAATAATTTTTACAGAGAAGATTCCTGGGGCTGTGTGGTAGACCAATGTTACTCCTATATGGCTAAGTCCTCCCAGGAGATGATCTGTCGTTGGGTCCATTGGTGGTGAATTTATTCTTGAGAGAGGGGTAGTCTTGTTAATGCCTAAGGAGAGGGTTTTCCACCCCCTTCGTGTTGGACAATTTTTGTAATCCAGGGCGGCCTGCAGATTGGGTGAGCATATCACTGTGTTTTTTTCTTGACATGACTATGGTAATGTTTGAAATTAAATGACCTCAGGGGCTATTGCACCATTGTTGTGGGACAAAAACAAATGTTTATGCTGTGGAATATTAAAAATAATCATTCCATTTGAGGAGTAATTCGATGCTCCATACCTGAAAGCGAGTCCGTTCACTGGCATATTTTTGGTAGTGCACCATGGCCTCTAGTACCTTTTTGTGACCCCCAGGAACCAGGCACACAGCGCCCATGATTTCCAGCACCGCCACCTTAGTCTTAATGTTTTCAGTGCTCAGACTCTGAGCAATTACATTAATACTCTCTGAGTGGGCCAGGACATGGGCTCTCCCAAGAGAGTTGTTCATCAGGGCTTTGATGCACCCAATGAGAGAGGTATGGATTCGAGATTCTGAAGTCTCATAGTCCATGCTCTTCAGGAAGTTCAGAATGCATGACAAGCCATCCAGATCAATGAATCGAGTTACAAACCTATCAGGAAAGGAGGAAAGAACACAAAAGAGGAAGATCACTTTCTTAGTCTAAATTTAGTTTAACTTCAGAGGATTCCTAAGGAACAGATTAAAATAATATCTCAGGGTAAGGATAATAGATTTCATTACCCATAAATAGATATGATAGCTGTAGTGGTACAGTGGTTAGAATGCAGCATTGTAGGCTAATTCTGCTGACTGCCAGGGGTTTGATCCTTACCGGTTCAAGGTTGACTCAGCCTTCTATCCTTCCAAGGTTGGTAAAATGAGGACCCAGATTTTTGGGGGCAAAATGCTGACTCTGTAAACTGCTTAGAGAGGGCTGCAAAGCACTGTGAAGCAGTATATAAGTCTAGGCGCTATTGCTATATTCTGGTACGTTCTGGGGATATTGTTAGAAAAAGAAAGAAATCAACTTCAAGACTGACTTGACCCTTTTTTTAGTTTGGGACAGAAAAATCTCTGAACATTTCACACTTCCCAAGACTGGGTATTCAAAGTCTAAACAGCCTAATCACTTCTACGAGATGGAGCAGGTATGTATAAGAAAGATGTAGAATAAACATTGCAGTGTGTCCTGTAATGGAAAAAAATTACCATGAACCTTCTCCACATGTCTGTGGATAGAATTTAATGCTGTAAAAAGACATATTTAAAATTTAAGAATACTGTCTAAATTCAAAGCATTCCTATCATAGGCAGGATAGCATTCACAAGCCAAGCAGTATGATTTCTATAATGCTGAAAAGATGGCTCTGTAATTTGATTGATTGCAACATCCCTAGATTTCAGACAGTGGGGGAAAATTTTATTGGGAAAATAGGGCTTGTGATTTTAAACACCTGGGTATTAAGAGGCATTGAGTAAACAAATCTCAGCAAATTAAAACTGATTGGTATTACAACAAAGAGATTACTTTAAGAATCTTTATACTAAAGAGCAAAAAGGTAAAGCATTTAGTAATCTAGCAGCAAGAATAACCAAAAAGCAACTTGCCTCATAGGTTTGGTCCTTAGTGCTGTTTTCAAACTCTCTATAGTTTTGTTTCGTTCCTCTTCATCTTCTTTTTCCAAAGCGATCAATGACTTTCTCTGCACAAATTGAGAAAATTAGTAGCAGCCACCTGTTCAATATAGATTATTTACCTACTGTACATTCCACAAATAAATTTGTGCTGAAAGTGATTGTCAGTCAGTGACAATGCAATAGCAAAATGGTCATGATGAACCCATTTATCACCACAATACAGCACCCAGGCCACCCAAAAACACCTCTTCACAATATTCCTGTCAATAGCTCCCTCTTAAATGCCTGGACTATGCAGGAAGAAACAGTCAGGACGTGACAAAGGGCATGAAATATCTCTCTACAAATACCGCAGGTTTAGTAGAAACATTTTAATATTTCATTTCTGTTTTTCCTTTTCATATTCTATTTTCTTTATTTCTGTAAAACAAGATAAATTAAAAATGGTTCTTCTAACCTCCAGAATGGCTATCAGAAGCCCCTTTGGCAGGGCTTTGCATCAGGATGAGTCCCCTGTTAGATAAGTTATATGATATTTAACTCTGATCAGCATTTTATAGTTGATTTTTTTCATGGCAGGTGTTCTCTTGTGAGCAACTAATCTTTATCCCCCCAAAAAAAGTTCCAAAAAGAAGATGTTGGGGATGAGTCACAGACTTTCTTTATTCATTGAGCAATATTGTCCCATTCTAGAATTGTGGGTCTGGTTTTGCCCAAATGAATAGCAAGCTCAGCTTTCCAGTTTATTCTCCCTGATGCAGTACTAGATTTAGCAGACTGGATTTAGTTTTAAAATGCTAGCAAGAGAGATGTTTCAACCATTTGGTGACAATAAAATTTAAAATATACACATACTTTATTCCTATTTCCATTAAAACTGTTTCTGAGTTGGTGATGCAGTTGGACCGTCATTGAGACATTAAAAGAAGAAGCTGTCCCACAGAAGTATTAAACCAATGCTGCACATGTGCTTCTGGGTTGAAAGGATTAGCCAGTGACATCACCATTGCCCCTGGGGATGTCCAGTTGGGGCCTCTTTTCATATCTTTAGCATGAGCTGGAGCAAAAGACGGGACCTCAATCCCACCCCAGTCAGCTCTTGGGTCTCAAATGCGAGCTTGCTAACCTCCAATCCAGTGTCCTAACTGTTCAAGCCACCCTGCTCCTGTTTAACCAATGATGTCACTCTTTTATGCCAGCAACATATTGGTAAAATTCAGTAGGGGAAGATTTTCTTTAATTACAACTTTAGAGAGCAACAATGACACACTCAATATTTTCAAGGTGTATATTATTCCAACTCAATATCTGAGAAACATAAATTTCGAATTATCTCCAAAATGCTTGACTTTACCATGGAGAAATACCCACACACATATCCGACAACATAACTACAATATAAAATTCACAACTGCTGAATAGATTGTATTCAGAAAGAAGACCCCTGCAGCCCTCTATAAAAATTCCAGGAGCTTTATTAAGCGCTCACTTCTACTGCATGACTGGATAAAGTTCAATAGTAAGTAAATTAGCTTCCTTAAAGTTAATGTGAGTCTCTCTAATCAAGGAACTCTTACTAAAGTCATTAGAAATGTCTGCAGAAACAAATACTCCCTAGTTCTCCCTCCCATTTACAAACATAACCGGTCTTTTGCTGCTCAGACAACTGGAGGGTAAATCGATCTTGAACTTTTCAACACAACCTTCATCTTTTTTTTGTTTAAACACTTTTGGCTTCTCATGATAATTATCCCAAGCCAAAGCTAATGTCCTCCTGCACCATTCAGTATAGGAAAGGCCTTATATATGCAGATTGATTTTTCTCAATAGCACAATATATGTCAGAAGACCTATGAAGAGATCAAAGGGCTACTTTACACAAAACACAGCAAAAATATTGCAACAGAGTTGGTGCATACAAGTTAATGAATGAACTTAATGAGTCACAAATTAGTGGCTCAACAAAAGCATACTGTGGGCATTTTTGCTTTTGAAGAATTGTACTGCACACTTTTAAAATAAACAAATTTCTAACCCTTCTGAATTGCTATGCGACCTTGAAATCATGTTTATAGCAGCTGAAGATCAAAAGTCTGCTGTAAGCAATGCTTCAGTGCCAATACATGGTTTATGATCTTTCCCCCCAAAATATGAATAATAAATATTGTAAAATAATGCATAATATTTATCAATTCTTTAAAATTAAGATTTAAAAATGCCTTTACATAGAATAGAATAGAATAGAATAGAATAGAATAGAATAGAATAGAATAGAATAGAATAGAATAGAATAGAACAACAGAGTTGGAAGGGATCTTGGAGATCTTCTAGTCCAACCCCCTGCTTAGACAGGAAACCCTACACCACTTCAGACAAATGGTCCTTTTTCCTACTATTGTTCTTGTCCAAATTTATACACTCCCTCCTAATACCCTCCAGATGTGTTGGAACAACTTGCAGAACGACATGCTGGCAGAGGTTGTTGGTATTTTTAATCCCAACACATTTACATGAAGGAAGAGCAGCTTATTCTCTCTATCCTGTGCTATGACATTTAGGAAGGAAGGATGGGTTGAAGAATGACAAATTCCCATCCAGTACTGGCATAAACATCAGCTGTTGCAATCAGTTTTAATATTAAATGACTTTAAAATGTACCAGAAAGCTAATAACCAAACTGACCCATCAGAATAATAGAATAACAGAGTTGGAAAGGAGCTTGGAGGTCTTCTTGTCCAACCCCCGGCTTAGGCAGGAAACCCTACATCACTTAAGACAAATGGTTATCCAATCTCTTCTTAAAAACTTCCAGCATTGGAGCATTTACAACTTCTGGAGGCAAGTTGTTCCACTGATTAATTGTTCTGTCAGGCAATTTCTCCTTAGTTCTAAGTTGCTTCTCTCTTTGATTAGTTTCCACCCATTGCTTCTTGTCCTGCCCTCAGGTGCTTTGGAGAATAGCTTGACCCCCTCTTCTTTGTGGCAGCCCCTGAGATATTGGAACCCTGATATCATGTCACCGCTAGGCCTTCTTTTCATCAGACTAGACATACCCAGTTCCAGCAACTGTTCTGTATATGTTTTAGCCTCCAGTCCCCTAATCATCTTTGTTGCTCTTCTCTGCACTCTTCCTAGAGTCTCAACCTCTTTTTTACATCGTGGCAACCAAAATTTAGAGCTGTGCTCTTAATTCTCAGATCTTCCCTTTTTAGACAATAGATAAATCCACTTACAGCAGCCATGGAGTTAAGCTGATCAATGTAAAATTCAGGCCAACTCGTGGCCCCTTTATTTTCTTCTTGGTCCTGAAATAAGCAAGTGAAAGAATAGTGTTAGAATATTTGTTTGCTTGCTGCTTATATGCAATAACTATAAAATACAAAGTACCTTACTCCACATGGCTAAATGTCACTCCGTAGACTGAAGAAATTATTTTTTATAAGCTGATCCCATTTTTTGGACATAGTAATAAATGTCATCAACTGGAAATTGTGATATATAATAATTTTACAGAGGTGTTAAATGAAAAAAAAATGTTTTCGATAGGCTTCATTCATTTGCTTTGGTTTGGTTTAGAATAAGTGCCAATGCCTCAATGAAAAGACAAAAGAATAAATGCCAATGCCTCAATGAAAAGACAAAAGGGGTCATATTTTGCTTTCCCTGGTAATGTCATTTTATTAACAATGTATTGTATTCTCTACAGCCATTCAACATATTGGTTTTAAAAGCTGCAACCACAAAAAGATACACCCTTGACTTTTTGGGGAGGGGGGAGGGCTACATTTTTGTTCAAAACAGTGAGAATTTTTCCTTGTCCCCATTTCTATCTTCTCTGCAATTACTACTGGTTTTGTAACTGAGCCTTCTTAAGGGGTTTATCTTTTCCACGCAAAAACGCTTTCTCCACCTGATGCTCTGTGTCAGGACTGAAATTCTAAGTCAAAGAGCTTTAATTTAAATCCAAATGCAGACTAAATAGGCATGGGGCACATGGCTCAGGATTTGCAAAAGGATTAAATGAGTAAAATTGTCCTGGTACTATAAATGATAAATTCACAGTGATCATTTTTGCCTCTTTGAGCTAAGAAAAGTTTGAATGACTAGGATTAGGAATCTTGTAAAATAACCTTAAATCCCTTCTAAAAACAGGGGTATTAAAAAGAGGATGAGAGAAACCTGAGGGAAGCCTACCACACAGAAATGCAAATCTTAAAAATAAAAGACCTCAAGGACGGAGCTTAATAATGGCTGTCTATGCTTTGTTATCAGAGAACAGTGTCTATTGGAAAAGAAACAGGAAATGAAATCAGGTGGAGGACTGAATGGTGTTTATCCATCCTGAACTTCCTCCCTCTATCCACAAGACAAGAAGAGCAATGTAGTTGGCACTCTTGCTGCTAAAAGTAACAAGTACAGGCAGTCCTCAACTTACAACAGTTCATTTAGTGATAGTTCAAAGTTACAACAGCACTGCAAAGGCCGTTTTTCACACTTATGACTGTTGCAGCATTCCCATGGTCACATGATATTGATAGCAATAGCACTTAAATTTATATACTGCTTTACAGCCCTCTCTAAGCGGTTTTACAGAGTCAACATATTGCCCACAACACTTTGGGTCCTCATTTTACCAACCTTGGAAGGATGGAAGGCTGAGTCAACCTTGAGCCTGGTGGGATTTGAACTGCCAAACTGCAGTCAGCCGGCAGGCAGCAGAAGTAGCCTGCAGTATTGTACTCTAACCACTGTGCCACCGAGGCTCTTAATTATCAAAATTATGCTTGGCTATAATGATGACGGTTGCAATGTCCTGGGGTTGTATATTTACCTTTTGCAACCTTCTGACAAAGTCATTGAAGAAGACAGATTCACTTAACAGCCATGTTACTAATTTAGCAACTACAATGGCTCACTTAACAATGGTGGAAAGAAAGGTTGTAAATGGGGCAAAACTCACTTAACAAATGTCTCAGTTAATAACATAAATTTTGAGCCTAATTGTGGCCGTAAGTCAAGGATTACCTATCTAGCCCAAACTTTTGTTCCAGTAGCACCAACTTGTCCACACAGCTTTTATTGACCATAGAAAAGAAGACAACTTTGTGTCCTCCATGTTGTCAAGATACTCAAAAGTCTCATAGCACAACATGTGTGCTATGAGAAGATCACAGGATGTCTAGGATCAACTGCCTGATTGATCAGCTGGAACCACTGAATCCTTCCCAACTGAGGAAGCAGCCATCTACTCAGTTAGACCAACTTACTAGTATTTCATGCCAAAGGACTGAACCAGGGACTTTCTATGCACCAACATGCACTCTTCCCCTTCCTTCCAGGCTGGTAACACCCTTAAGAGCCAAAGCATTTCCAGACCAAACATTCAGAGCATTTACCTGCCACAGAAGGGGTCATGAAGTAAATATTTAAAAATCCATCTTGATTCTAGTGCTGAGATAGATTCTCACCCTTCTCTTTAAGGCAGACTTTCTTTAGCCAATTTCCTTCAGAAGCCATACAAGTCTGGAGTTACATTTAAGGTACCTGGGGGGCACCATGCTGGGGAAGCCTGCCTTAAAAAATGTGAAACCTTGAAAAAGCCAAACAATATGTTCTTATATGTCCCTCGCCCACCCATCCAAAAATAAATCTGTCCAATAATTCATGGAGAGGGAAGCAGGCTGATTTACTTGCAAACATTAGTCTCCATGCTGTAATTTTTATTTTCCAAAGCAACCACAGGGAACCTATGTGTTTATAGCTGCCAATCTCTGTTACATTTCTGGCCTCATTTACTAGCATGCATTAACCTTGCTTGTTCCCTGCCAAAACTTGGTTTGGCTGACTGAAGAAGCCTGCCATAAGAAAGAGGCTTCCACAACTATCATGAAACTTAACACCTACTGTTTAAGCCAAGGAATGCCATCCGTTTGCCAATGAAATCCAGGGAAGGCTGTTAAGAAAGCAGAATGCCCAAGGGGACATGGCATTTGGAGAGGGGAATTCCTTCTAAAAACAGAGAGAAGTATCAAAAGTGCTTTCCCACTAAAACCAAAGAGGCATGCGGCGGCTGTTAAGAATCCATTTGGCAAATGAATTAGTTTGTCAACTTTTTAAAAAGGAAACCATTACATTGACTTCCCAAACCAAGAAACCCTCCCAATAGCACCAAGGACTGTGTTGGAAGAAATGTCCATCTGGGTTCAGTTCCAAGTGGGGAGAAAGACACTGGAAACATGGAGGCTGCTTAGAAGGATAGTTTAATGGAGCAGAACCATTAAGCACATGATCCTGGTGCAGCTGAATACATGGAGTGGAGAATGAGTGTTATTTATACCCTTTCTTGGGCTTTGAACTTGAGCTTCTTGTTCCTGTGGCAAGGACAGGTATCCTATTGGCTGCTGTAAGGGTCATGTGCAAATCCTAGGAGTCTGTCTGAGATAAGCTTGGCTGAACTGTGCTGGGTGATGTAATGAAGAGGCTTGTGTTCTGAATAAGGTGTTGGGCAATTCCTATTATGGCTTAATGGCCTTGTCCTGATTTGGATCTTGAGTGAGGGCTAATCCTATCACCCTGGAGCTGAAAGCCGTTTGTTTTGTAGATAGGATGGCCCAGTCTTTCTGGGGCTATTAATAAAGTTGGGGCTGCTTTCCAAGAGCATGTTTCTCCTTTTCTCATTCAGGGAGGTAGAATATTCTGCCTTTTTAATATTTCCTAAAATATTTCATTCTTCTAAGAGGGGTGGGTGCTAACTTTCTATAACTGCATAAATCATGTTGCTAGAATTCCGGGAATTGTTATCTCAATACATCTGGAGCCCATCAAGTAATTGTGCTCCTGCAGACATTTTGTTACTAGGCTAGGTACTATCATCAGTGCATGGGAGGGTGTAGTTTGCTTATTGTTTTAGTTATATTTTTGTTGTGTAGATGGGATTTATCTGTTTGTTGATGGCTGATCTGTCAGAATGCCAAGCTTCCAGCAACTCCCTAGCATTTTTGGATTTGGCTTGAACTAAAATATTAATTCAATTGAAATTGTGGTTGAACTTGTCTTTATGTTGAGAGACTAAGGAATTTTCATTAATCTTCTGTCAGTGTGGATGTGTTCTGCCCATCTTCTACTTGTCTATCCTACATATTGGCTGTTACAGTTCTTACACTGTATGTTGTAGACCACTCCTGTTTTCTTCTTCTTTGGTTACTGAGCCTCTGAGATTGCTTAAGATGCTTTGGAAGGATTTTGATGGTTTATGTGTGTGCCATGGAGAAAACAGACCACCTACACAACATCTTCCAACATAACGGATATCCATACAATTTCATTAAAAAGTGCCTTGCTACACAAAAGTATATATCACTTAAAAGATATAACTAGAAGTCAAGGAAAGAAATAAACAGCCCAAAGCATAACTTCCCTAGCAATACGCACCCTAATGAAGAAACAACACCAGATAAACAGGGAACAAATAATACCTTAATCAAAAATCATGAAGGAGGAAGCCATATCCTCATCAAGACTGGCAGGGGAAGCTACTATAAATAGCCAACTTCATTTTCCCATTCACTGATGATATAGCTCATCCATCTCTCTCTCTCTCTCTCTCTCTCTCTCTCTCTCTCTCTCTCTCTCACACACACACACACACACACACACACACACACACCTAATCCAAGGTCTCAGAAAAATAGTTTATCCAAATTTTCTGGTCCTAATTGCTTTACAGGATGCCAGTTTCCTATTTGTTTTGTGCTATTTAAGAAGAATGACACCTCATTATTTCAACTAATTATTGCTGTTTCACACACACACTAGAAAATTGTTTCTTCACATTAGCAACTTTAAGATGTGTGGACTTCAGCTCCCAAAGTTCCTCAACCAGTTATGTTGGCTGGAGAATTCTGGAAATTGAAGTCTACACATCTTAATGTTGTGAAGGTGGAGAAACTCTGCTCAAGTATGACCCGGAATATTTCACAGTGTGTCAAGGATCATCAGTGAGGTGACTAATTCAAAACAACCCCCTAAACAGGTTGGAAAAATACGGTGCGGAAAATAATGAACAATACAGACAAATTGCACAGGTATTCACAAATATCATTAAGATAGAATACCCCAATGCTTATTACTGGATAACGTCTTCTCATCTAACCAGACGTGGTACAAGGGAGTACCTGGTGGGCACCAAACTACATGTGTAAGTCAGAACACTCATCAATACAGCAAATTTACCATAAATATCCAGACAGCCAGTCAAAATGTAACATGGTTAGAAACTCAGCCAGTTCTTTTGCTCATTGTCTCC